TAGAGTCCTGTTTAAGTCTGGTGTTTCTTTGTTAATTTTCTGCTTCAGTGGTCTGTCTAGTTCTGTCAGTGGAGTGTTGAAGTCCCCCACTATTATTATATTGCTGTTTATTTCATTTCTTAGGTGTAATAGTATTTGTTTTATGAATCTGTGAGCTCCAGTGTTAGGTGTATATATATATTTAGGATTGTTATATCTTTTTGAATTGATCACTTTTATTATGTAATGATAAATGATACTTTTATCATTATATACTGACTGTCTTTGTCTTTTATGCTGTTGATTTAAATTCTATTTTATATGATATAAGAATAACTATTCCTGCTCTTTTGTGGTGTTCTTTTACATGGAATATTTTTTTCCAGCCCTTTACCTTGAATCTTTGTGACTCCTTACAAGTTAAATGGGTTTCTTGGAGACAGCAGATATTTGGGTTGTGATTTTTTATCCATTCTGTTAAGGTATCTTTTAAGTGGAACATTTAGACCATTTATGTTCATAGTTATTATTGATAAGTGAGATACTGTTCCAGTCATCATGCTGATTGTTACTTTGCTGCTTTGTGTCCTTCCTTGTGTTACTATTTTATAAGTGGTGTGAGTTTTTACTTTCAAGTGTCTTTACATTGGTGGGTGTCAAGTATTCTTTTCTGAAAAGCACTTTTGAACATTTCTTATAGAGCAGGTCTAGTGGTGACAAATTCCCTTGGTGTTTGCTTCTCTGGGAAAGATTTTATTTCTCTTTCACGTATGCATCTGAGTTTTGCAGGATACAGAATTCTTGGTTGACAGTTATCTGTTTAAGAAAAGACCCCAATCCCTTCTGGCTTGTAAGGTTTCTGTTGAGAAGTCTGCTGTTAGTCTGATGGGTTTTCCTTGATAAGTTACTTGATGGCTTTCATTTTGCAGCTTGTAGGATTTTATTCTTCACTTTGACTTTGGCCAGGCTGATGATTATGTGCCTTGTTGATGTCCTATTTGCATTGAATCTTCCAAGAGTTCATTAACGTTTTTTATATCCGGATGTCTAAATCTCTAGCAAGACCAGGGAAGTTTTCCTTCATTATTTCCTCAAATAGATTTTCCATGCTTTCTGTTTTTTCTTCATTTCCCTGAGGGATACCTATGATTCTTATAGTTGGACACTTCACATAATATATTTCTCAGATTTTTTTCATTTCTCTTGATTCTTTTCCCTTTAATTTTGACTAGCTGGGTTAATTTGAAATACTTGTCTTCAAGCTGAGATTCTTTCTTCTGCTTGATTTAGTCTGTTGTTATGACTTTCCACTGTATTTTGACATTCCCTAAATGACTTTTTCATCTCCAGAAGTTCTGTTATTTTTTTAAATTATCTCTTTGTGAATGTTTTATTTATGTCCTGAATTATTTTTTTGGTTTCTTTGTGTTGGTTTTTAAATTTCTCATTTATCCCATTAGCTTGCTTTTGATCCATATTTTGAGTTTCAGATCTGACATTTCAAAAATTTCCTCTTGGTTGCAGTTCATTGCTGGAGAGTTTGTATAATCCTTTGGGGATGTCGAGAGTGCCTGCTTTTTTGTTGTTGTTGTTATTTTGTTTGGTTTTGTTTTTTACATACTGTCAGAGTTCTTATGCTGGTTCCTTCTCATCTGGAACCTCTTCACCCAGCTCAAAGCAGCTAGCTTTGCATTTCACCTGTTCTCCTCTGCCAGGAACTCTGTTGCACAGTGTAGAGAGAGAGAGGTACACTGTCTTTTGGCTTGTGCAGGTAGGTACCCACTGTGGCGGTGCCGGCAATTTGGTTCACTTGTACCTCAGATCCCCTGCGAGAGTGTCTAGGTACCAGTGGTTGTGGGCTATGTTAGGTAGTCCCCAGTTCTCAGGCCCCTGGATGGTCCTTGAATCCTGGGGCTGGCAAGCTTGTCCTCAAGGTTCCCTGAGTTCAGGTGGTAGCTGTGACAGTGAGGGGTGCGGTTACCTCCTGGTCTGGAAGAATGCTCAGGCAGGAGAGGGTGGATGCACTGTGAGCCTGTAGACAGGGTGACTGGGCAGTGGGCCCCTCTTGAGATTAGCAGGAGCAGGCAGCTGTGAAATGCACACACCCCTCACACCTGCCTTTCTTGGCAGTTAAGCTGTCTCTGTCCTTCAAGGCCATAAAAGCACTCAGATTCCCAGCTTCCACACTGGCCCAGCTGCAGCAAAGGTAGTGTAGGCAGCTCAACCAGCTGTACGCAGGGCTACCAGATTGGATATGGGCTGTGGCTAAAATGCACTGGCAGGGCAGGTCTGGTGCCAGAGACTTTCCTCCAGGGAGGGTAAGCTCCTCCTAGAAGGGACAGGCAGCTTGGGGGGAGGACTGCTAGCCCTGCCATCTCTCTGGGTAGGTGGTATCCTTAGTCCTTAGGGAACATGAAAACATTTGCTATAGCTTTTTAGAGGGAAGAGAGCAAGCCACCTCCTAAATGGTACCTTGGACCTGTGATCAAAAAGGGTGGGTCTACTTTTTAGCAAATAGCATGGGCAAGATGCGGGGGAGAGTGCCATTCTCCTTCTTCTGGGTCTCACTGTAGCCCATAGCAACATGGTGGGAATTGTCCTAGGTGTGTGTAGGAGATTTTGGACTCCCTTGTCTCTCCTCAGCTGGGTGGGGCTAGTCAGCCCAAATTCAGCCTGAGGGCCGGGTACTGCTTGGCTTCAAATTCCCAATATGACCAGAGAGGGCAGGGCCCTTCTCAGGCTATACTGGCAGGAAACTCTGAGGAATGCAATTTGCTAGAGGCTTAGTTCCATAGCTTTGGGCTGCAGGATGGTGGTTACTGCCCCAGATGCATGCTGGAAAAACTAGTTTCCCTGCCCCTCCAGACAGGGGCTACAGCCAGGTCAAGCCCAAACTCAGCCAGAAGACAAGGCTCCATTCAGTGTTTACCCACTAAATGGCACCTTGGACCTGCCACCAGAAAGGCTGGGGCCCCACCCAGTGGTGTGGGTGAGAAACTGGAAAATGCTTTCTGGTCATTTCTCAGTGTCTTTTTTTTTGGAGACCCAGTCTCACTCTGTCACCTGGGCTAGAGTGCCGTGACATCAGCCTAGCTCACAGCAACCTCAAACTTCTGGGATCAAGTGATCTTGCTGCCTTAGTCTCCAAAGCAGCTGGGATTATAGGTGTGAATCACTATGCCCAGCTAATTTTTTCTGTTTTTAGTAGAGACAGGGTCTCACTCTTGCTCAGGCTGGTCTTAAACTCATGACCTCAAACGATCCTCCTGCCCTGGCCTCCCAGGGTGCTAGGATTATAGGTGTAAGCCATCATGCCCAACCACATCTAAGTCTCAATCATAGCCCACAGCAGAGTGGTGAAAACCTTCTCAAAGGTGTGTTGGAGCACCTGGGCTCCTCTGTCCATCCTCTGAGCTGTGCAGTGGCTGCAGGTATACCTGTAGTGTATCTCGGTTCTCAGAATGGCGCCTGGCTCAGCTGCTCTAGGCTTGGATGCCTGTGGGATTCCATGTGAATTCCCTTTATAGAACGATGCCTCTGTGCAGTATCCAAGCAGCTCCTTATCTTAGGCCTGAGACCTGTGTAGGCCAAAGGGTTTTCTTGTAGCCAAGATCTTAAAAGCTGACCCAGGCAAGTTGCCCTGAACCCTCTCTTAACCCACATTTGGTGCTTCTGGTCACTTCCCTGGTGAATCATAGCATTCTTTCCTAGATGATCTGGTTGAAATGTGAGAATCTACTTACTATTCTGGTTCCTCTCTGTGGAGGAGGCACATACTACCTGTGTCTGGTTGGCCATCTTTATTGACCAGGAAAATTTAGAGATAGTGATTTGGTGTGTGGGCTGAAGGTAGAGGAAGCTATGAGGAGGAAATGCAGGAATTTTATAATCCATCTCCACTTTGGATCTTGAGTTGAGATGACCACTTGATGTCCAAGTGGATATGTGTGATAAACAAATGAAAAGGAAGTCATATTGGAGTTAGTAATGTTAATGATGACAGAGCTGGAATAATCAGTTGGGGTAAGTGGAAGACCAGGGTCATGTCATATCCCACATTGAAGAATATGTGTTATGTTGTGCTGTGAACAATATCAGAGGAAAATGAGAACCAAAAAGAGGATATTGATAACCCCTGAGAATGCAGTGGTAACCATTGAGAACATCATAAATAAAGGATGCAGTGATATTTATAAATACTAAATGCTTTAAGGAATAGTGACTCAAACACTGAAGCTCGCTAATTCTAACTTCAGTCTATTAGAATTTATCCCTAGAGATTTTTCCTTTATAGGGCCAGAGAGTAAATATTTTTGGCTCTCATTGGTCTCTTGTCTTCAGTACTAACTTTGCCTTAGCATGAAACTAGCCTCAGGTAATATGTAAGCCAGCGGTCCTCAAACTTTTTAAACAGGGGGCCAGTTCACTGTCCCTCAGACTGTTGGAGGGCTGGACTATAGTTTAAAAAAAAACTATGAACAAATTCTTATGCACACTGCACATATCTTATTTTGAAGTAAAAAAACAAAAGGATAAAAATGCCCACATGTGGCCCCGCAGGCCGTAGTTTGAAGATGCCTGAAGTAAGCAAATGGATGTGGCTGGAATAAAACTTTATTTACAGAAAACAGCTGATGCACTATAGTTTTTGCCCACCCTTGGGCTAGAGCAGCCTCTGCTTTTTGGCATTTTTTTTCTATATTATTCTTTGGTGTGTTTGATTTAAGATGTAAATTAACATTGGCTAACTTCTTCCTAATAAAAATTTTTAAAACTACATATTAGTATTGAAGCTCAAAAAATCTAACAGAAATTACTATGCTGTTGATCTTGTAAAATTTAATAAACTTGACTAAGCTCCCACTATTCCATGCCCTAAAATAAGAGGTGGTAGAACTAAAATAGGTACATTTGTTCTCCTTCCCCCCAAAATATATTGACTAAGTTCAGTGTGGTTTTAGTTAATTTAATTGCTTTTATTATTTTACCTATTTTAATAACAATTTGCTTTTACTTTTCAGTCTCGGAGAAACCTGTGCGAGGAGGCTTTGTTAAAAATTAAAGGTGTTATTAGCTTTACTTTTCAAATGGCTGTTCAAAGATGTGTGGTACGAATCCGTTCAGATTTGAAAGCAGAGGTTAGTATTTTAAATGGCTCAATATTTTGGGGGTTACAGGTAAACAAGTTAGTATTCAAAATTGTTCCTTTTTGTCTTGGCCTAGGCTTTGGCGTCAGCTATAGCATCAACCAAGGTTATGAAAGCTCAGCAAGTCGTGAAAAGTGAAAGTGGAGAAGAGGTAAAAGATTTATTTAGTTTTCTCTATACCTAATTCAGACTCATGATTATTTTTTATGGCTAGCAAACTGCCAGTATTTCTAGACCAGGCGTCCTCAAACTACGGCCCACAGGCCACATGCCGCCCACGGAGGACATTTATCCGCTCTACCAGGTGTTTTTGCCCCCACTGCCTATCCTGCTTAGTAGCCGACTCGTCCCGGGCCCACGGTGCGCACTCCCCAACGGTCTGAGAGACAGTGAACTGGCCCCCTGTTTAAAAAGTTTGAGGACCCCTGTTCTCGACCAGTTGAGTTGCCAAATATATAAGAATGTGTTGTTTCTTGGTTAACAGTTAACTGTTTTAGAAATACAGTGAGATCATTTGTGGATTTCAGAGTCTGCTCTTGTGAATAAAAGTTTTATCTCAGTTGAGATATCTTGCAGATTGTATGTGGAAGTAAAGGATACATGGTTTCATTGGATTTATTTTTAAATACTGTCTTCCTAACCTTAATTAGTCTTGCCAGTACAGAAAATAACAAAGTAACCACTCTGCAAGTAAATGGGGTGGAAATCCTTGCCTATTGCTACTCTTTCCCCTAACTTTGTGATAGGGAAAACGAATCTGTATGCCTTGAGCTCATTTGGGTTCCCACAGATGGGAAGTTTCATGGCCCTCCAAGGGGGCCAGACACTTGCTTTAGTGGCCAGACACTTGCTTTAGTCATCTTTACATTGACAGAGGTGGTTCATGTACTCCTAGGGCCTCAGCATATCAACTTCTGAGTCCCCATTTATACTCTACTCCTTCCTTTCTGTGCTTACACAGTGCTCAGCAATTGGGCCTACCATCACATAACAGGAAAATTGTAAAAGGAATAGAGCCCCTGAGAATAAATGTGGTAATTAGAATGAGGAGTAAAGTTGACCTTTAACTTACGACATACTATGTATCACATTAAGTTGATTTTGTAATAACTCCTAATATGTTCTCCATATCAGATGTTGGTCCCATTCCAAGATACTCCTGTGGAAGTAGAACAGAACACAGAGCTGCCTGACTACCTGCCTGAGGATGAGAGTCCCTCAAAGGAGCAGGACAAAGCAGTGTCCCGTGTCGGCTCACACCCAGAGGGTGGAGCTAGCTGGCTGAGCACAGCTGCAAACTTTTTATCCAGATCATTCTACTGGTGACTTCAATTTGGGGTTCAAGGACTGTGTGAAACAACAAGGGGCCAGTTTTCCATTGTTGTGGTGAACTGTCAAGTGCAATTTGCAATAAGTTATCATGAAAAGTTTTTAGATTACATGATTGCGTATGCTGCATTTTACATCTTATTGGACATTTTACCCCCACTGAGTGGTAAAAAGGACAGAGGCTACAGGTGGAATTGCTTTGTTTATGAAGGTATTTTGGTTTTGTTTTCCTTTGTTTAATTGCCTCACTTTTTAAAAAACATGGGTCCACTGTTAAAACCAAACATGTATGTGCAGCTTTACATTTATTTTACATGAAGCACGTGATTAGGAAAATTTGTTTTCTCCTCAGGCCTCAGGACCTATCTGAAGAGTTTTTTAATAGCTCAAGTTGTGCATGAATTACTGAACATTTTTCTCTGCTTTTCTTCATGAAAGATACATGCTTTGTTATCTTCACTGAAAGTTGAAAACCTTTCTCATTACCTCTCTTTTGTGCCTTTTTTATTTTGCCAACCATGTTTATAGAAAGGATATTACTAATGACATGTTGCAAATTAAAATATATTCATTTGAACATAGTAGTCCTCTAAAAATACAACTCTACAAAAACCTTGCAGTCTCGTTTTTTTATAATTTTAATAAGATTAACACAAAATCAGTTGAGAAGAAGGGAACATGTATATTAGCATAGTGATTGTGGAAAGTATTTGAATGTGACCAAATGTGGTTCTAGCTGGCTACTATTCACTTTGGTTTATATCAGCTCCTGAGAGTTAATTCCACCATGATATTGCAAGCAACTGTCAATGGTCTCTAGGCCTTACTTTGTGAGTACACCCTATCTTCTGCTAGAAAAAAATAACAGTGGTAAAGAACTGACAAACTTGAAAAAAGGAAAGAAAAATTGAATGCCTATAATGCCATAGTGCCACTTTGGAAGAGTCTAACTTTAAAACATGAATTGCTTGGCAAAAGCCTGTTCAGTAGGTGTTTCTTCGTATTGCCTTTTATGAATTTATTATTAAAATGCTGCAGTCACATTGAATGAAAAAAGACCCAAATTATTGCTTATAAAGAATAAAGCCAGCATTGGTCACTTAATCTTGTTTCTCATGTCCAGCCAGAAAAAAAGAACTTCAGTGAAGGTAAGATTAAATAAGTATATTTACACACACATATATATGGGTTTTTTTGGTAGATAAGAGCTAATTACATGTATGTAATGCTTTATTAAATTTCTGAAATATTTGGTAACTAAAATTTTCTTTTTGGAAATTCAACTATATGCAGATACATTTTAATGACTAAAAACTAATAGGAAAAAATGGAAAATCCTTTTTCATCAATGTGTAGAGCTGCCATTTTACTACTTGGAGAATGTGAAGTGAAAATTGGACCCTAAAAGTTTTCCTTGCTTTTTTATCAATTCTCTTTTAGAGAAAATTAAAAGCATCCATTGTCAATGGAGAAACTAATTGTACATTACCATCACTAACACTGCAACCTTCTGGAGGGGGAGTTATTGAGGGTATTGAGGATGATATTGTTTCATGTGTCTGGTCTCCGATTCAAGTGACACGCACAAACTGAAAATATAAGCTTTCAGGGCACATATTGCTCTAAATGCATATGCCAGGACCAGATGTGTTGAAGAAAGAAAAAACCACCTCCTTTCCATAGCCATTAAAGCATAGTTTACCGTTTTAAGTTTGTATTTTATTTTACATTGCCACACATCTGCTTATATAAAAAAACTACATCCTTTTGTCAGTAATGGTTCAGTACAAGTAGGTATTACAGCTTGACATTTGTGTGTTCTAATTCTAAGTGTTCTTTTATTCCAGGTCATAATAGAGCAGTTAAGGCAACTGTAACAGCATTTTTGGAAATATATTGTAAAATAATAAAAGGTAACATAATTAAAATTAGATGGATATTACATTCTTGTGGTATAAGCATTATTGATTACTCTTAAGCCTGTTTGTACATAGCCTGCCTGGCACACTTTCCCAGTTCCCTGCAGTTGTGTTACCTGACTAATTCCCATGCATCTTCCTTTCATGTCCTTCCTGACACCATACCTGCCTCTCCCCAGGATTGGATGAGCTGCTCCTGTACATATACTTCCTCACTGTAGCATTTATCACATTATGTTAAAATTTTGTATTTACCAATGTCTCTTCCTCAGCTGTTTGAGAAGAGGGAGAGTCCTTTTTTATTTTGTTTTTAATTGACACATAATAATTGCAAATATTTATGGCCTATGGTAGGATGTAAGAGAGTCTTTGCGTTAACTTTGTAACTTGAGTACCTGTTAGCAATCAAAAACTCAATGTGTAGAGACCAGAGGGTTAGTCATAAGAAAGCAGTAAGCCTGGGCGGACAACAACATGGGAAAACACATGGAAAGCACCTGGCCTGTCCAAAGAAAACCACATTTTTCTCATATGGATTGTTGTTGGCTTTTGAGAATGCAGAGTTTGTGACTTTGTGACTTTTCCAGACCTTTAAAACACTAGCTGAGCTGCACAAAACACATCTGTCAGCCAGAAAATGGCTACTCTTATTTTTAGAATAGCCCCATTCTAATCTGTTTAATCTTAATATTTTAATCATTTTCTGCTGTAATATCAAAGACCTATGGATTAAAGTTTGGACTGCTTTGTCTAGGATCAAAAATGCCCTGAGAGGCCAGGCACAGTGGCTCATACGTATAATCTCAGTGTTTTGGGAGGCCAAGGTGGGAGGATCGCTTGAGGCCAGGAGTTTGAGGTCAGCCTGGGCAACATTGAGACCCCGTCTCTTAAAAAAAAAAAAAAAAAAAAATTTTTTTTTTTTTTAAAGAAACGAGTTCTCGTTCTGTTGCCCAGGCTGGAGCGCAGTGGTGCAACCAGAGCTTCCTATAACTTCAAACTCCTGGGCTCATAGAGATACTCTTGCCTTAGCCTCCTGAATAGCAGGGACTACATGTGCCACCATGCTCAGCTAATTTTTCAAGTTTTTTTTTATAGAAACGGAGTCTCGCTGGGATTACAGGCGTGAGCCACTGTGCCAAGCCTTCTACAAATTTTTTTTTTTAAATTAGCCAGGTGTGGCACACACCTATAGTCCTAGCTACTCAGGAGGCTAAGGTGAGAGGATCACTTGAGCCCAGGAGTTTGAAAACAACAAAAAAATGCCCTGAGACTTTAGCCCCCCCACTCTCTAGATCTTTGCTTGTATTCTTATCTGGAATTTCCTCCTTTACATTCTCCTTTAAAATATTTTATTAATGAAAATAAGCTCAGTATATTATAGAAATAAAAAAAAAAAACCCAAAAAACAAAACACACACAGACACGCAGTCTTTTTTTTTTTTTTTTTTGAGATGGAGTCTCGCTCTGTTGCCTTGGCCAGAGTGCCGTGGCATTAGCCTGGCTCACAGAAACCTCCAACTCCTGGGCTCAAGAAATCCTTCTGCCTCAGCCTCCCGAGTAGCTGGGACTACAGGCATGTGCCACCATGCCCGGCTAATTTCTTCTCTATATTTTTAGTTGGCCAATTAATTTCTTTCTATTTTGAGTAGAGACGAGTCTCTCTCTCTTGCTTAGGCTGGTTTGGAACTCCTGACCTCGAGTGGTCCTCCTGCCTCGGCCTCCTAGAGGGCTAGGATTACAGGCGTGAGCCACCGCGCCCGGCCCGCCCATCTGTCTTACTATACAGCATAGATAATTGTAGGTAACTGAATGGTTTTGTAATTTATTCTCATT